GGGGGGTCGTTGAGAAAGGAATGGGAGGTGTCACAGTTTTCTCGTGCCACGTGACCTGGGGGTCATGTGTACTGGGACAGACGCTCACCTTGACCACGGACAACTCGTATCGGAAAGTGGAGGGGCCAGGATCGAACCCCAGACCTCGTGACGGCCAGGAGCGCCCATCCTCACTCACAGGCAGGTGACTGATGTGACAGCAGGAGCGCTTACTCATTGGGAAGTGTCCGGACTCGGCACGACTCAGGTATTAGTCGTAAGGTCACCATGAGGCAGGTCAGAGGGTAGGACATGAGGCAGAGAACTCTGACCAAACAATGGTCAATAGGTACCTGGTCTGTGCACCGTTGTATTAGTATATATAGTAGGGGGTCTGAGGCAGGGAACCTCAGACTTGATCTTCTCGTCGATCACCCATCTCCTCTGTAGGTAGCTAGCAGCCCTACCTCTCACTGCCCCTTCTAGTCTAGGGAATCTACTTCTTTACACCATCTCTTGCTGTGTCACCTGGAGTTGCTTCGCCCCTCAGCACCAACCCCATCACCAGTAAGCTTTGTCTTTATTTATCTGGTGGCACAGCTCGTTGGCTGTGACATTAGATCAAGTCTCTTACCCATCCCCTCCGTGGAGTGTCTCGACCACTTGCGGACCGGATCTCTCTCCCCAGGAGTTTTTTGAAACATTTATCATCCCCCCCCACTATCCTTCCATCCGACTCGGACCTACCGGAGTTTACCCGTCGTCACTTCAAGAGACACAGTCACCTTGACGTCCAGTCCCAGATTGACCATGCCCTTGCCGACGATACATCAGATTGTCTTCGTCATCGCCGTCAGTATCGGCATACCCCGATTGTCCCTCATCGCAAGGCCCTCCTACCATCTGTACCCCCCAATCAGCCGCTCGACAGACCGCTCGCTGCACGTCTCACCACACCCCCACCAGTTTTTGTCCCCTCAATCTCTACGGTCCCTCTTCAGTACCGTATCACTGCACCATCTCTTCCCTCCTTCGCACGTCGTGATCCCGTCGACCTCCTCGCTATCATCAGCTCAAAGGTCAACGCCGTCATCAAAAGACTGCAAGCCATCTTCGATCGCAAGGATCAGTTGCTTGACACCCCCCACGATCATCGGCTCGCCCTTCAGCGCATCGGTGACAGACTCGAGTGGATACTCGACAACATCACGGAGAACGGCACCTCGTGGACTCGCAGTCAGCAACAGAACATCGATTGGTTCTGCAAGGAGTTTGGGAAGGTCAGGTTTAGTGGACTTGGACAAAACTTCGAGCGTGTTGTCAAAGCTCTAGTCGAGTTAGAACATTTTGGGTACTTAGATTGGATCGTCGTTTAGTTTGTATCTCAGATATCTTTCACAATGGCTTCAGGCTCTCGTTACGCCCCTCTGGCAGAAGACGACTTTGAGTCGGAAGATCCAGGGCCACACACTCACCCGGCTCCATCACTGGCACACACCCGCCCGGCTTCACCCACTGCCACGCTCCAAGCGTACCCGGAAATTCAATGGATCTACGCTGGTGTTGAGTACGACTCGTTGGAAAACGCTATCCGCGCCTCGGCAAATAGTTTAGGCATCACCAACCCAGCTTACGTCGACTGGACTATCTCTGTGACAAGGGATATCACCCGGCGGGAAATAGTTAACGTTTACAACGTCCTCGGCAGCAAGATATATGAACATCGGAACGACTTCCTCAATGAGATCGACACCACCCACGCCACCTTCAAAGAGTTGGACATGTCTATGACAGGCCTTCACACCAAGGCTGACACTGCTGGGAACCTCGCTCTCAAAGCCGTTGAAGAGAACAAACAAACAGCTGAGGGCGGAACTGGTCACTGTCCATGCAGATCTGGAAGTTCTCAACCGGAACGACACGGAGCTCGTCAAACGATATAAGGAACTCGCGGCCAAGTTTACACAGTTGGAGCAAGGCCTATCAACCCGCACCACGCTTGGTACCAGCACCGCACCGGTCCCTGTCGTATCACAGGCCTCGCGTATCAAGGCATCAGAACCACCCAAGTACAAGGGCAACAAAGGCTCGGACATCACTCTCGAACAATGGTTGCAGAAGATGGGTCTTTGGTTCCGCGTTCAGAACATCACCATGGACAACGACAAGATTACCCTGGCCCTCATGTACTTGGAAGGTGGTGTGCACGATTACGTCGAAGACTACATCGAGACAGCATCAAACAGCGGAACCCTTGGACTCCTGGACCGACTTCGTCAACCGACTTAAAGCAGGCTTACCGCAACTGGCTCCGCAGAAGACCG